CAAGTGCTAGGATCATAGGCATGCATCCTCATGCCCAGCTGTCACAATTATTTTTTTCTGGAGTTGGGGATTGAACTGGGGACCTTGTGCTTGCCAGGCAGGAGCTTATGCCTGCTGAGCTAAATCCCTGATCCTCTCACAAATATTTTTTTTTTTTAAACATTTATTTATTTGTGTGTGTGTGACCAGCTCAGCTCACCAGGGGGCGGGGCTGGCCGGCATGTGGTGTTGGGGGATCGAACCGCAGTCCCTGTGCTTTGCTGAGCTTGTTCGAAGTAGGTGCTTTAGACCACTGAGCCATCTCACCAGCCTCTCACAAATATTTTTAACACAATTTTCAAAACATTTTTTTCAGGGCTGGGGAGATAGCTCAGTAAAATAAGCGCTTGCCTGGCTACTGGAAGGTTCTGAGTTCAATCCCTGGTACTGCAAAAATAAAAATTAAAAAATGCATTTTTTTCTTAAAACGTGTACCATAATTTAAGTTTTTATCAATTATCTGTTCAGTGTCTATAATCTTCAGTATATTACAAGTCCTCTAAATGCAGGAATTTGCCTGTCATTGTCACTACTGTATCCCCAGGACATACCTAGCATAGCACTTACTGTATGGTAAGTAGTCAATAAATATTAATTGAGTAAACACAGGGATGAATCATAAGAACTGCTACTGGCCAATCAGGAACAGAAAGAACCAGGCCAGATATGGGGGTAATCTTGTTTCAGAAATAATAATGTAAGTTAATATGAAAAATTAAAGGGCAGGACTGATGGAAAAGTTCTGAAACTAGAGATTCTGAAACTAGATGTGCTTGCACAATACTGCGAATGCACAAAATGCCACTGAAATGCAACTTTAAAGTGGTTAATCATATGCCATGTGAATTTTGCCTCAATAATAAAAGAGTATAACTATAATGTAATAATTATAATCCTTGATGATTTAGACACTCTACACATATTTGATGAAGTCAACATAAAGACAGTAACTCGTATGTACTGCTTAATAGTTTACACAAATGCTTTTACGTCATTGCATTAGTTGGTTCCTCGCCCAAAGCCTTTGGCCATGCAGACAGGGAAAGTGGCTTGCTAGTCTACCTGGCCAGGGTAGTCCCCTCTGAGGCTCTGCTTTTGCTGCTGGGCACCTGCAAACCAGTCCTTCTCATCAGAAAAGCCTTCCTACAAAGAGCCCACCCTCCCACTTTCCTCTTTCACCCTTACCCTGCTTGATTTTTCTTCCAAATTCTTAGAATATTTTACACATTGACTCTCTGTGTGCGTTTCTTTCCATGATAATGTAAGCTCCAAGACAACAGGGTCAGTTTTGTTCTCTGGTAGGATCGTCCTGATCTGGTGTGGTTTCTGAGAAAGGATAAGTGCCTGATAAATATTTAAGTGAATGAATAAATAGTAGAACTTTGCCATGAATTTGGCCACATCTTTTGGGGGAGCCTGTTTTATAGGTGACATGTCCAAAATGAAAGCATGCCATGACTGAGAACACCGGCAGCTGGGGCAGGAGTGCGCTGTCCCCACTAGGGGGTTCGCTCATCCCCGGCTCAGTGGGCTGCTAACCAGCCTAAGTTGGGCACCTGTCTACACCACTGAGAAAACGTACTAGGGGAACAGAAGAACTGGCCACAGCACATGTCTAGGTTCTATCCTAAGTGAGTTTATGAGGCCCAGGGCATCTCTAAGGTGAGGCAAGAGAAGAAGACAGGCAGGAGTCAGAGACCAAGGAGTAGCAGAGCGTGACCTTGGAAGGTCCACTCATCTGGGTAGAAATGCTCCCAGGACAAAAGTGTTCTGCAACATGAACTTTGTGTGATTTCTTCTCGTTCCCAGGAGAAACCTCTCAAGGCTGTTCTCTCACAAGAGGGAATTGTGCCTTGGTCTGAAGGAGGGACAGTGAGCCTCTGTGACCTAGTGGCCACCCTAGAATTGTGTTCAGTGGCCTCTGACAACTTCTTGGCCAGTGGCAGCAGCCCATCTGCATCCCGTTCCTGAATCAGGCAGTCGGGCACAATGGGAAGTTGCTGGTGTGACACAAAGAACACAGATGCTCGACTGTGAAAAGCAAAATGCCACAGCCCTGGTGTCAGCCAGACTTCCTGCACCTGTCAGGGCAGGGCAGGTTACAGACTAGAGATAAACTCACAGAAACAAAATGTGGTCATTTGCCCAACCGGATGGTGCCTATATTTAATAACAAAAATCTCAAATATGGACAGATACCTGTTTGCCAGCCTGAGACTACCATTTTAACTTAATGGTACAAGGGGCCAGGGAGATGGCTCAGTAGAATAAGTGTTTGCCTGATAAGCACAAGGGCCTGAGTTCAATCCCCAGTTCCGGAGGAAAACAAACAAACAAAAACAAACTTTAATGGTACAGAAACATCATTTTCTCTCCCAACCTTTGTTTTTTGAGACAGGGTCTTGCTATGTAGCTCAGCTGGCCCTGAACTTAGCAATCCTCCTGTCCCAGCCTCCGCCATGGTGAATTAAGGCATGTGCCACCATGCCCAGCTAAATCATAAAACTTTCTAAAATTTTTCTAGAACTGAGTATCTATAGAAAATGTCAAGGTATAGGGGCTGGGGAGATGGGTCAGTGGAATAAGTGCTTTCCTGGCAAGCACAAGGGCCTGAGTTTAACCCCAGTTCCGCAAAAAAAAAAA